CCTACACCAGCCCCTCTCCTCTAGGATCTGCGTGACCCACTGAACCTCTCCACCCTCTTGCCTGCGTACAAAAACTTTTTCAATGTGTCTGCATTTTCTCATACACCAGAGGTAGGATATTTGTCACTCAGCCCCAGAGCTGTGCATGAGGTTCACAAAACTCTTTATTCTCCCAGTTAGTAGTCTTCAAGATTGGCATTTCAAGGAATGGGAAGAGGACCTATAGCTTGCCATAGAGCTCTCTTACTTGTCCATCAGCCACCCTGTCTCTTCTTGATATATCAACTTGGACTCTTTGGCAAACCAGCAAGGTTGCTTTCAGATAAATCTACTATACCTGTTTACTGAGCAAGCACTATCACCTTACACAGGGTTAGTAGAGTCCTACTTCTTAGTTTAGCATAACTCCAAATCTTTTCCTGTGAAGTATTTGTTCTTAACCACTGAGAGGTCTGCATTGGTTGTGTCATTTATTTATGCAGCAGCATTTATTAATGCTACTTTTAGTAGATTACATCCGTTGAACAATGAAAGCACAAACCACAGCTTGCAGCTAACGCTTGTGCTGGGGGACATTACGATTTCTGATGGTCACAGACTTCAGCCTCCCATCTTCTTCCACTTCTGTTCTCTCCTGCCCATGCTTGATGAGTCTCCGTGTGGTGATCATCTTGCCATTGACCACTTTAGTAATGGTTAACACCAGTCTGCTACAGTGTGGCCCAGCTCTGTCCTCAGCAAAGGCGGATTTGAGCTGCTCACTGGGACCGAATGAATTCCATTGCATAGATGACTCCATAAAATCAGAAGACAGGTTGGACCTTCTTTCTCTTCCACTTTTCCTGTGCCAGTTTTCATCATTGTATCTCATGTTGCCAAAAGGGTCCCAGAAATTGTGTACAATTCAGCCCTACAAAGGCTTCATTAAAGCTATTGAGATCGTGGAATTCACAGGGGGAGTTAAAGAAGCCATTATCATCCACTGTGGTACCTCCTGCTCTGTGGGATCTGCTCTTCTTAACAGACCTGTCATAGAGCAATCATTTCTGAGGGTTGGACAGAACTTTGTATGCCTCAGCAACAGCTTTGAATTTCTCTTCAGCTTCCTCCTTGTTGTTGGGATTCTTATGAGGATGCCGTTTTAGTGCCAGTTTGTGGTAGGATTTCTAACATCATCCTGTGAGGCACTTTTTTTTCAGTCCCAGGACTTTGTAATAATCCACCATTTCAAAGGAAACATGGGGCTGTTTGTAAGATGCCTGGTACCTCTCACCCATGAAGGATGTGAAGCCCAGGGATGACCAGCATGCAGAGACTCCTGGACACCTAATGCTCCTGCGCTCCTCGGGTGGGTAGATGCTCGGTTCATCCCTTGCCCTTCATCCCTCTGGGGCACGTTACCCCATAGCAGCAGCCTGTTTTCTACATGCTGTTTTGGATATCTACCCCAGGGTGTATGCATGTACAACAGGGATACCCCATGAACTCCACACAGACAAGTTCAGCTTGCAAGCTGAACTTTGATGATCCAGTCTAAGGTTATCCTGCGTCTGTTTCTGTTCCCTGGATTTGCCATTCCTGTGGGAAATGCAGTATCTTCACAGGGAATCATTGCATGAAGGAGGTCTCCAAGGAAGTGCCAGATGAGTTCTGTGTGTAACATGGCGTCGTAAACTCCTACTAACAGCAGCATGTGTTGCAGATCACTGCCCTCTTTTCCATGATCCTATGCTTTGGGAAGGAGTCAAGAGCCAGCCAGACCAAAGAGCATATGTGCAGCGTATGAGCTGGCTGCTGTCCTAACATACATCATATGTGTGGGGCCATGAAGCCAAGGGGCAGACATGTCATCCTGAGAAAAGCAGTGTGACAGAGGCAGGAAGGTGACTGAGCTGATATGCGTTGAGTAAGGCTTTGTTTTACTGGTTTTCTCACTGGTCGGTGAGGGGTCAGTGGTATGGAGGTACCTGTTGTATTCTGGTGGTAAAACCTGCTGTGAGGCTGGAGCTGGAGGAGTTGCAAAGCAACCAAGGAGCTCATGCAGCCATGGGCTCACCTCTCTGGGGAGATCTTGGTTTCTGCCTCCTTTCGTAGAGGATCAGTTTTTTCCAGTGCTCCTGCACTGAGGGGAGAGCCAAGGCTTCGTGGCGTGCTCACACTGTAGCACTTTGCTCAAAATCTTCACCAAGGGGATGCGCTTATTTGGGCTGGTGTCTTTTTAGCGTTGTCCATTGGACTTGAGGAGGGTGATGATGTGGTCCATTTGCAGATGCTTGGCAGAAATTTCCAGAGCAATTGCTGTTCCTACAGTCTGTTGCCCAGAAGGGAAAATGGGACGTCAGAAAAGCCTGTTGGAGGGTCCCAGGCCACTTATCTGCTGCAGGGAGTGGAGCTGTGTACAGAAGAAAGGAGGTGACTGTGCCTTGTGCTGTCTCCTTGTAAAGTATCTCCTCCCATACTTGCTTTGGGTGGTGAGAGCCCATCTCAGACTGGCTGGTGCACCGAATTGTCTGTCTTGGATTTAGTGCATCCTACCCACCTGAAAAGCAGGGAGTGCTTTTCTCCTGTCATCCCCAAACAGCAGGCATCAGAGATGATCAGCCATTCAAGAGAGGCCACTGCTGTGAGCCCAAAGGTTTGCAAGGGGAAATAGAAAGGGTTGAGGACAGGCAGGGAGAAAGGGAAAGGAGAGCAACATGCTCACATCTAGTAACTAGACCCAAACTAGCCTGGCAGCCCCATCCCTAGAAACCAAGGCTTTGAAATGAGAAATGTTTTTCGTATCTTAAATCTCAAGTACAAACAATAAAAACCAGCCCAGACTGTGTTCTTTGAAGAGAAAGTACAAGTGACCTGAACAGTGGTTATCAGCAGCGTCATTAAGATAAACCCTTAACATGATTTAAAGCATCCGAAACTGAAGGCAGCACTTTCAGATACTAACAAAATGGTCTGACATTGGGGATGAAAATCAATAGTAATCTGATGTCACTAAAAATACTCAAAAGTGTCCCATGGCTGATGGAGGTGAGATTAGTGTAAATATTTGTATTCTAATCAGTGGCACACGAGGGCTGGAGGCGGCCTCTCTGTCTATTTAATTAATGGAGTGGCTTTTTAAAAGGATCCTAATCATATGTGATTGTATCTGCTTATCAACATTTTTGCTAATTAGATGATATGGAGGCAGTCACTCTGCTAATTCCCTCATCCAAACAGCATATCCTGCACAGATAAAGTACAGTCTCTTTTTAATAAGAAACAATCACGAGACAGACTAACCTTAATGGTGCTTATTATCCAAGGATCTTTGGGATTTTCTCTTCTACCCACCCCCTCCTTCATTTTCCTTCATGCGCTGCTTCAGAATGCCAGATGGATGTGGATGCAGCAGTCCCTGTCCACTTGGTCCCCAGCTCCAGGTACCGACACGTCCAGCCTGCTCTTCCCTCCCAGGCATGGGAAGGAGATGCCAGCCAGGTCAGGATGGGGAGCAGATCACAAGGCACCAAACAGCAAACTGTCCCAAGCTTTTGGTCACCCACCACAGGAGATCCCAAACTTGCAGCCCCAATCCCTGAACTTGCTCTTGGCATCCCAATGTGCCCTAGTCCAGAAAAGAGGGAGTCCCTGAGTTGTGAAAACTTTCTTCTATTATTTTAAGATTGGATCTTAGGATAAATTTCTTCACTGAAAGGCATTGGAACAGGCTGCCCAGGGCAGTGGTGGAGTCACCATCCCTGCAGGTATTTAGAAGGCATGTAGATGTGGTGCTTAGGGACATGTTTTAGTGGTAGACTTGTCAGCGTTAGGTTTACCGTTGGTCTTCATCACCTCAGAAGTATTTACCAGCCAAAATTATTGTTGTTGTTATTCTTGTTGTTGTTTCCTTCTGTTTTAAAAGGGGCCTGAGGACACAGGGGTTCTACACGAGTGGTTTCTCACCAGCCTTATTGATCCTGTGACAAGGCCAGGGTCCTTTTACCTAAACCAACCTAAGTCAGAGACCTTTGTTCCAAGTCCTTCAACTATCCAAACAAACACGAGCCGTGCTTCACTCTACCACTCAAACTGCCATTGGGTGTCTCCCCCCGGGGCAGCCCCATCAGAGGGGACCCTGCGCTCACCCTGGATCCGTGTTCCTGGGGAGCTCAGTTGGGAATGGGCACTATGGCTGACCTGCTGCTGGGGGACAACACAGGGACCTGTCTGACTGCAGAACAAGACTGAAAAATAAATAGAGAATTTGCCCCCCAGACTGTCTCCTCACCTCTCAGAATGGAAGGGCAATGTCTTGATAAGGAGAACGCATCCTAAGCAGGTAGAGCTGCCACCCCAGAAGCATCTGAGTGGACCAGAGAAGGGGTAAATGCTTGATGTTTAGTTCTGGGAGGGCAGGAGTTTGCCTGCTGTTTTTGCAGTTGTGAAATTTGAGTAGAAAATGTTTAAATGACATGGATTCCACCACTATGGGCAGGAGGGAGGGTCAGTGTGTCCTGTGTACTGATCCCATGTGTTGGGCTTAGCATGGAGGTTGGCTGTGGGATGGATGGGAGATGGAGTGGCACTGCGGAGTGCTGGCTGGAAGGACCCCAGAGGCTGGGAGACAGAGCTGAAGGAGGAACCAGAGGGCTGGGTCTGTATCCAGCATTTCTGAGCCTCATGTTGGGGCTTGAGGCTAAATTGAGGCTCAGGCAAGAAGACAACCAGCTTGTGGGTGGTGGAGAGAGGCAGGAATCTCATGAAACCATACTTTTCTGAGGCATGAAGTCAGTGAGGAGGCCTGGTCCTGCTCAGTGGAGCCAAGGGTGGGCCTGACATGTTCTTTGTGATAGATCATGACCCACACCCAGGGCAGTCATGGAAAGCCCAAATGGTGATGTAACTTGTGTCCATGGACTATGACCCCAGCAGAATTCAGAGCACTTCGGTTTCATTGCCTGGGTCATCTCCATGTATCATCTGCACTGTCCTTGTCCAGGCATGGCTATGCTGAAGTTATACTCAGCAACACGGTTGATAAGTCCTTGTACTACCTTCTGCTATTCCTCCTCTTTGGCATGGTCCCTGACCCTCCTTCCCCTCCACGCAGTGACCGCTCTCCCAGAGCAGTTTCCCATTCCCAGCTCCATGACTGAGGACTCCAACTGGAAAAGAGCAGGGACTTGTGGGCCAAGGATTGCATTGCGAGCCGTTGAGTCCTGGGGCTGAATGAGGCCCTGCTTATCAGCAGCATGTGCTTATCTGGAGCGTGCCGCTGGGTACCTGCTCCAGCCCCATCGTGAGCGAACACGTTTTACCACCCAGCTGCAGGGCGCCGAGCGCGGTCAGATGGCTCAGCTGGGGCCGGGTAACGCGTGAAGCCGCAGCAACTTTATCACTTCACAACATCCATACATAGCCACAGCCTTGAGTCTTTGCAGGGGAAGAAAGGATGATGAGTTACTGTCCTGGGATTTTCTCTCTGTCTCCAGTCAGTGGGAAGTGGTATGTGGAGCATTCATTTAATAAACCAGAGGGGAAAAGCTGTAGATCAGCTTCTCATTATTTCAGTGCTGGCTCACGCCATCGCTTGGGTTTGTGCCTGACAGTTCAGTGTGTTATTTGAGGCCACTCAAACATTCTGCAGAAATGATGCCACCCTCTTCTGAAAGCATGGGGTTCATCCAAGCGGGGAGGGCCTGCCTGCAGTAGTAGGTTTATCAGTGCTAATTTTGTCTCGGTTTTAGGTCTCAGTTTACAAAGGAGGTGCCCACTTTGGAAACCAGTTCCTTTTGATAGCCACCACTCCAGCAGGAAAGCTTCTGGAGATGATTCTTCTGATGTGGACTTCTGAAGTAAAGCAATTCTAAGTGGGTAAAAATGCACCAGTGAAGCTGGTTTTTTTGGGGGAAGAGAGGAGTCCTAAGTGGTACAAAACTTAGGTGAGGGTCCTGGTGATGTGCACATAGACCTGCAGTCTCCTGATTAAAAGGAACAGCCCCTTTCTCTAGAATGTAGGAAGGATTGTAGGGTACCGCTGTGCTTGTCCCCCAGTATTTGCTAGTGTGTGTCCAAGAAGGGGGATCTGGGCAGTCAAGGGGGCAAGTGGGGGACCGAGCTATTACCGATTACTTTGCTGGGTGTGGGGAAGTGGAGAAGACACTCCACACTGAAGCCATCAGGAAGCACGTTCTGGTTCTGCCTATGGGCACCTTGTACATGGGGCTGCTGGGAACAGTGAAAT